GGTCCTTCTTCTCGATGTACTATTCTGTGCGCAGATTTACTGCAGCTGTTCCACCATCAGGAACTCTACCATGTGCTGAGAACTGTACCAATAAGGGGACATTATAAGATCTGTGGCATGAACCACAAAGGCTGGGCTGGGTTTTATATTATTAGTAGCAATACTTTTTTATAATGACATGATAATAAACAAATTGAACAAAGACTGAGTTAAAAAGTACCAATTCTATCCTTAGGCTTGCAGTCAGATGTAGATCAATTGAGGAGAAAACTCAACTGCAGAAAACAGTAAAGATGATAATAATGATGAATAGTTTGAAAGATTATAATCAAAGTACTCAGAAAGCAAAAGGCAAATAGAAAAGCTTTTGTTGGGTTTGACATCTGCAACCATTTTAGGAGATGTGATGTGTTGTCCTTTAAAACAGAGCTTTAGGTATCCATGGTCTTACGATTCAGTTGGTTTGGGGGGCTCAAAGACCAAAAGTAACAACAATATGATTTATTCCTGAACTAAGTAAACCTGATACAAGGAAATAACAAGGGAAGCTAACATGCCACATTACTAGGTCAATTTTATTCTATGAACAAAGTTGCTAATGTTATCTGATTGACACTTTAAAATGGGCATAAATAGCTATAGAGGCAAAGATTGTACTCCTTGTGGTACAGCGATAATTAAAGTCAACAAAATGTCTCGACAACTCCTCCATGTGTCATTTATTTTCTGGTCTCCTGTTGGGAAGCGGATACCTCCATGACTCCATTTGGCAGTGAAGATAATATTAAAAAATTTTCACACACACTTGTGTTTTCCTAAGGACAGAGATAATAACTAGGTTGAGATTATAATTAGTCCTGAATTTTGATCCATGGGGTTATTTATAAACCATAAATTAGAGCTTTTAATGCAAGGAAATGCCCCCCTTAACACAGGCAGGAATATCAGATATTGGAAATTACAAGTCTGAAATATACCAGTCTGAAGTAAAATGCTACGGCATAACAGGGGATTTTTCTAAGGTAAGTAAAAAAAAATAGACCTGCTTTAGGTGCAGCATTTAATATTTCTCTTAGTAGCGAGCATAATGCTACATCTCCAATAGTCATAATGCTTAATGCTCGTGGTTACAAATTAAGTTATCTCTTTCCCACTGGACAGCTGGCATACTCAGAGCAGCAATTTGTATCAGCAGGAGGCCAAACTCCATTGCTTCTTATATGTGTATTTTGAGACATGATGTGGTGTGGCAGAAAGTTCCTTTGCAATGTGGCAACATCCATCTTTATGACAGCAAACCGGGCTGTTCAGGCCTGCATGCAAAAGAACAAGGTTAATTCCAGCTGTTAACATAATAGGCTGGGTCCATAAAAGCTGACTGCAACAGACCATTGGTGGAAAATATACTCTGCCATTTAATTGTTGAGAGGGTTACTGTCCTTTATTTATGATACCCATATGCTGGCAAATGCAGACTTCGAGTCATACGGAGTGCCAGGATTATTTGGACTGAGGATTCTTTCTGTGCCAGTACACAGACAGCAGTTTTGAATGTAGTAGTGGGAATGAGATGCAGCAAAAATAAAAAGGAGGGGGAAGCTGTTGGGTTGACGTTGTTTCACTTCCCCTGAGCAAACATGTAATTTCCATGATTTCTTTTTAATGACTGCCGTCTGATGCTAGTAGGTCCTGATTTATGAAAAGCTGTGAAAGATCAGGTGGAACCCTGCAGGACGTCATTTACAGCTGCACAGATTGCAGCCCATCTAATTTGTATAGTAAAAGTGTGAGCTTATGGCGTACATCACTCTCCCCATAAATTTCATGTTTAGACCTGCTGTCTAGGGGTGGGTCAGGGTGGGGGAGGAAAGGCCAATGGATACAGATGCTCTGAAAGCCCAGCATTCCCTTGGTGCACATGAGGAGACATCACAGACTCTTCACAGTTAGAAACAAATTCCTGGTCATTGATAAACTGTCCAGATGTCTTCTCAAAGGAGGAAAGTAACTAATTTCACACACACACCCCAAATCCTACTAGGAGAAAAATGATATTCTAGTTATTCTGTGGTCATTTGTATTAAAATTAGCTCATATTCTTGTCTCCATTACACCTTGGTCCCAACAATAAACATAAAAGCTTTACAGGATTTGTCTAAGCTGTAATCATGCTGTTCTGTTCTGTTCTTTCTCAAGACATATAGAGTGAGTGTTAAGTGAATTCCTCTTTTATTAGAATAAAGGAAGATGTTAGCTTAACCAGAGAAGAACAACTTCCCCATACTTCATAAAATCTTTAATAAATGCCTTGGGATCCTAGAAGTTATATGGAGAAAACTGTAAGTGAAATATGGTCTTCATTAGACAAATAGAGGTTAGCTTAGACCCATGCAGTAGATACATTAATATGTTCTTCCAACCTATTTTTCAAACAGCTATTTAAAGCAAATGATTGCAATCTAAACAAACTATGGCCCTGTTCACATGGAGGATTTGCCACGCTAAAGGCACAAATGTCAGGCAGATTTTCGGGGCGCGATCACACTGCAACACCTCGGAAGTGTAGCGCACCCGTGGCATCCCGCCGAGATCCGCAGTAAAAAAGTACCTCGGAATATGCACTAGTATCCGGAAAATGCGGGGCAGGGGCAGGCGTCTGATCGCGGGAGCGCTAGTATCCCGTGACATCCGGCGCCCGTCCACGTCCCGTCACAAACCGGATGTTTTGCATAAGCGCATGCGCGTAAACACGTAACTGAAATCAGTGCTGCTCCGCAGAACTGCACATGCACACAAATGCGAAACGCTTGCCACGCAGCTTTTTTGCCATGCTCCTGCATCGCCGTGTGATCGCCAGCTAACAGCCTAAGCGCGAAGACTCGGGGAACCGTGTGATTGGGCTACCACACTTTATTTTACTCCGGGGCGAACAGCCACGCCTCCCCCCCCCGCGTTATCTGGCCCATGTGACCGGGCCTTTGTGTGGATGAGAACTACATGAAGACACTGAACTTTGGCTCTCCATTCCAATAGCTGGAGAGGCAAACTACTTTCTAAACTGAGGATCAGCTAGCCTCTACAGCAGGTATATGAACATGGGAGCTTACTAGACAACTGAATTGAGTAATATCAACTCTCTACCACAAAGGTTGATTTACCAGTGGTACTGCATTGAGCTTCTTGAAACATTTTGCTGTTGCTGGTTCTGTTGTGGTTTAATAGAATAATCATCAACATTCTAACCAATCAGCTCAAGGAGCCTAAGGACTGGAAAAAAGGGGCTCGTGGAAAGAGGTACAGAAAAGTCAAGTGAGGTGATCAGTTTTTAAACTGAATGCATATGAACAGAGATGCCACTTTGTATGTGTGCGCATGTGCATGTACAGGCACGCTAACATAGGTATGAATGAAAAAAGGGATATGACAGATCTATGCATGTGATTTTTAATTGTTTTAATTTGTTTATTTTAAAAGACCAAAAAAAGAACAAAGAGGGGGGGAAACTTAAAATCCAACAGTTAATTTTAAAAAAAGGAAAAAATATACATAATACAAGACAAAATTGTAACAACAGTGGTGGCAAATCTACACATACGTTTCTATGAATTATTTCCAAATATCTAAAAATAAGTCCATATTCAATTGCCATCTATATGCTATGTGTTCAAATGCTGATAGAGTTCTAAGGTCCTCGATCCATTGATTTACTGGAGGTCGGCTTTTATCTTTCTAGTGTTGTGATATGAGTCTTTTAACTGTAGTAAGGGCATGGAGGATCCATTTCCATTGACTGTCAGTTAGCCTCCAAGAGACGGGCAGATAGTTTAAAAGTACATAAGAATCTTCAAAAATCAATGAACATTCTAATTAAAAAACTGATATGAGCAGTAACTTCTTCCCAGAAAAACCAAATGACTTCACACATCCTGTAAGTTACAACAGCAACAATTAGACACTACTCAGTTCTTTGTTAAAAAGTCACTGTGGTGTCCAGTATATTCAAAACACAATTTTTGCTGAATAAGTCTCAACTTAAGATCCATAGAGAGAGTAAGCATAGACTTTAATGGGATGTGACTGATCTATGCATGTGACTGTATATTCATGTGAGCATGAGTGTGAAAAGGTGAGTTTGAGGGTGTGGATGGGATGAAAGTATAGTTTGTATATAAATGGAAAGGATAGGAAGAGTTAATAGGTAATGGACATAGACAAGATATTGCAAACAAAGATGAGTGTGATTTGTTTTATGGGTCCTCACAAAAGCAAGTTGAATTAAGCAACCTCTTCAATTTCTCCAGATTATGGTAGTATGACTATAAAACCTCAAGTTTTTATGCTTCATTTAAAAAAAAAGCATCAAATTTTAATAGGGTTAGTTGTATATAAATGATGTAGAATCTGCATAAAGTTGTGTAGAAGAAATGCCAGCAACAAAACTATGCAAAACCAAAAAGTTCTCAGTTACAGCATTTTTTATATATAAAAAAGGCAGTGACCTATTCGTGCCATCTAGTATTAGAGAAGCATGTACTCTTTTCAGTGCTGGTTACAAGGTCGTATCCTAGAAGTTTTCCAGCCAAGCTAATCTTATTTAAACTATCGCTTAATAATGTGTCTAAATTATCAGAGAATCAATAAGTTTAATTTGACATTAAGAGGGTTTTGTTACTGGTGTAAATAGTTTGTTATTTGAGATATGTTTGTCAAATTGCTAAACTACTCTAAAATTAAACGCATCATTGTGTAAACTTCAGTTGAAACAAACATGTACCATGGATATATCAATAGCTTCATACAAACTGAGAAGCTAGTTCACTTAAACACTGTGATTATATGCCCCCCCCTCCAAAGCAGCCACCTTGAACAGCCATTGAATTCCACAAATTAAGCGCTATATAGTTCAGAAGCTCCTGCTGGGATTGGTATTAAGTTTAGATACAAAGTGAACTTTGGTCTATTATTGCTCTCTTACTATCATCACATTATTTTTATTCCAGACCCTCAAATCTCCTTCTGGACCAAAGCAGCATCGAAATTTCAGCTCTCCGCTCTACCAGTGACTGGCTCAATGGTATTCGGATAGGACAATGCAAGGACATATTCACAGGAGTAGAATACAGCTCGTGTGATACAATAGCTAAGATTTCCTCAGAGTAAGTGTTGATGATAGTATTTCCCTTGACTGTTTTTGCATTGCTCACCCAGATTACCAAATTAAAATTCCATTCTTTTAAGAATAACTAAAGACTGGGCTTCATGTTATGCAGGAGATCCATGACTGGATCTTCCAAGGTATTTTTAATGTTAAAAACTAACCACATGATAAAGGATTTGAATCAAGGCCATGGTGCAGAGGGGAAGGAAGCATTGCTGTCCAATGCTGTCCAGCAGAGTTGTTCTGAGTTGTGAAGGGGCCTTTATTCTGGGCTCCTGAAAATGTAGACATAGAAAACATACAGGCTCACTGTGATGTTTTTGAGATGCATTTTACAGGAAAAAAAATCACTTGCATCCTTAGCGACTTGATTTCCACAGCTGGTTCAGTTCAGTCGCAGGATGACATTGGAGAATAGTCTGGTCCTAGTTGTATGGATAACTTTCAGTTGGTGAGAACTGATGAACTGGACAAGCTGCTTAGAAATGTGTAGCCCACCATATCTAAACTTGACCCTTGCCCTTCACTGCTGTTGATGTCAAACCATGATCTGGGAAGCAATAAATGCCTCTCTGCAGGAGGGTGTAGCTCCACTGACCTTGAAAGAGGAGGTATGACACCCCTCCTGAAAAAGGCACACCTGGACCCCACTGATGTAAATAACTACTGCCCAGTGGCTAACATTCTATGTTAGGGAAAGGTAGCTGAGCAGGTATTGGCTATGCAGCTTCAGATGATCTTGGAGGAGATGGATTATCTAGATTCATTTCAATCCAGATTCAGGTCTGGGTTTTGGGACAGAAAAACCCTTGGATACCCTGACTGAGTATCTATTATGGGAAAGTGACAGGGAGAGTATACCCTTGTTGATTCTTCTGGATCTCTCTGTGGCATTCAGTACCATTGATCATGGTGTCCTGGAGAGGCTAGCCGGTTTGAAGTGGAAAGTACTGTCCTTCAGTGGTTCTGCTCTAACTCTACTAGTTGATTCAAGCAGATTGTGTTGGCAGACTGCTGCTTGGCCCCATAACATTTATCCCATGAGGTTCTTTATGGATCCATCTTGTCACCCATGCTGTTTAATATCTACATGAAATTGCTGGGAGTTCATCATGGAATTTAGCATAAGGTGCCACCAGATTTAAGATTGATTTATTATTTATTCCACCTTTCCACCCAATCAAGGTCCACAATACAGTGAACATTAAAACATTAAAACAATTAAAATTATAAAATTATAATTATAGTTTAATTGAATTATAAAATGCAATTAAAACACATAAAGACACAGCACAAGAGGGGGTATGCCAGAAGAAACAAAAAGACACTGATAGAGGGAAAAAGATGAATCTCCCTGGGAAGGGAGTTCCAAAGTTGTGAGAGCCACAACAGAGAAGGCCCTTTCTTAGGTCACCACCCATCTAGCCTCATATGGTGGGGCCAACTGAAGCAGGGACTCCGAGGATGACCACAGTGAGTGGGTAGATTCATATTGGAGAAAACAGTCATTATGCTATGTAAGTCCTGGGCTGTATAGGACTTTAAAGACTAATACCACCACCTTGAATTCAGCCCAGAAGCAAACTGGAAGCTAGCATAGCTGGAACAAGACTGGAGTATAATGGTCCCTATGACCCGTACCAACTATAGCTTCTAAACAGTCTTCAAGGACAGCCGCACATAGAATGTATTGCACTGATCTAATCTAGATGTTACCAGGGCATGCATCACAGTGACAAAATCTTTTCCATCCAGAAAAGGTTTTAGCTGGTTCACCAGCTGAAGCTGGTGAAAGGTACCTCTGGTCTCATTTTGTAAATTAAATAAATATGCAGATGACACCCAGTTCTGCTTGTATTTTTGGCCACTATGTGACAGAGTGTTGGACTGGATGGGCCATTGGCCTGATCCAACATTGGCTTCTCTTATGTTCTTAACAGCTGAGTCAGATGGGTCTGCGGAAGCTCTTAACAGGAGATGATACTGGGATAGATGAGGGCCAATAAATTGAAGCTCAGTCCAGACAAGATGAGGTGCTGTTGGTCAGCAACAAACCTGCTTGAAGACGGAAGAGTCAGCCTGTCCTGGAGGATGTGGCATTCCCCTTGAAGGAACAGAGCTGTAGCTATGACAGTGCCTCAAAAACTATGATCTAGCCATTGTGATCGATGCTCTGATTACATCCAGGTTAGATGACTGTAATGCACTGTATATGGGGCTGCCTTTGAGAACTGTCAGAAAACGTCAGCTTATATGATGAAATGCAGAGTATTGGCAGGGTTTGGGATACAGAGACTGTATCTGCCCAGTGCACTGGCTGCTCATTTTCCCCCAGACAAAATTCTTACCTTTAAAGCCCTAAATGGCATGGAGTCAAGAGACTGGAAGGACCACCTCCTTTCATATTGTGCAGCCCTCCAGTAAAATATGTTTTAGGTGCCAGGCCACATTTTTTTTTTTTGTTCATCCAGGCTTTTAAGTAAGAGGTCTTTTAGCACTATCTTGGTGTGCTTTTTAGTCGTAAAAGCTGTTGTTTTAAGCTGTTCAATTTTTCCAGCACGTTTATTGCCGGGTTTTCATTAATACATTTTAATGTTTTTAATTATGTTTTATTTTGTAATCCACCCAGGGCAGACTCATTCAAAAAATGGCATAAAAAGTTGCTAAGTAAATAAATGAATGTTGTACTGATCCTTTCTACCTTAGCCAGGTTCTTGGCTGCCCATAGCGGACTGCTTTTAGAAAAACTGACACTGGTTACTCTGTGTATCGGCTAAGCTGATGGTAGCCTTTGACATCCAGGATGGTGATCATTTCTTGTCACCCCATGCTTTCCTGTCTGACTGACTGGGGCCAAAAAGGGTCAAATCTCCATGATCTGAAAGCTGCTGTGCAGATGTATAATTTTTTCACAGCTCTGTGGATGTTTACGTTCCTTCCTTAGGAGAGCTATTTTCTTGGATCATGCTTGTCAATGTTTCTAACATAGGAATGCATTCTTACCGCCTTGCCCATCTGGAAATATTCTTAAAGCTTCACTGCAAGTCCAGCCTCTGTTTAACAGTATCCAAAGGACGGTCATGACCCTCATACAGAGTTTGGTTTTGTGTTGTCTTTTTTAATGTATGTGAAATGCTTGCCATCTACCACCAACTCATTGATTGTGTTCCTTTTTTTTCAGAGATATGAAGAAGGTTGGTGTGACAATTGTTGGGCCACAGAAAAAGCTCATTAGCAGTATTAAATCTCTAGAAATGCATACAAAGAATGGCCCCGTTCCTGTGTAAGATACCAAAATGTCAGTACTCAGGACATCACTACAAGAAATGAGAAGTTGCTGCAAAAGGGCATGGTGACGAGTGTGAAACTGCAAGATGTAACAGGCACTCTTGTAAACAAACTGAAAATATTACATTCAGGTGGACACCTCAGGTCCATCAAGAGACTCATCTGCTGAGTTAAACTGCCTTAAAATAGAAATGAAAACTGTTTTTTTTTTCATATATTCTTTCTCCCCTTGTAATAATAAACTGCTTAAACATATCATGTAAATGGGAAAAAAATTCTTCCAAGAAACTTAGAGCCATGATAATATTAGGGAACTGAACACCACAGGCAAAAACAAACAAACAAAACCGTGGGTGTGCTTTGCCTGATAACAGTGGCAAGGGGAGGAAAGAAAACCCTTGCAGTATTTTTTATATGCAGAAAGGATAGGTGATTAGTATTTTATTTCTTTAAAACCTGACTCTTCTAATGATATGTGGGGACAATACCTCAGACTCCTGGCCATATCAGCAACAACATATTTGCAATATTCTGTTTCAGCTTGGGATGGTAACACATATATAACTTTTGCAACAAAATAGAGGCAATACTTCACATATAATGCTTGCCATGAGGCTAGTTTTGGCGTGGGTGTTTAAAAAAAAAAAAAAAGTCTTGATTTTTTTTTAAATGAAAGGCATATTTATTTTCCTTTTGAAGTTCGTTATTGTTTCTCTTTATATATGTATATTAATTTGGATTAATGATTGCCAAGTGCCAAACACAGACTTTGGCTTCAATCCTAATATTTGGAGTAAACAACTCATTGAAGTCCAAGTAATTGTTGTCCAGGCTGGAAAAAACAAAAGCTCGGCATACACAAAATGCAAGGTATTGTATAGTGGTTTGGACATTTCTATTTGTTACTACATAGTGTGATGTAAGGAACCATTCAATCATTTTTCCACATGGAAACTAGCCTTGGTGAGCTGTTCCTATTTTCTTCATGAAAATTGCATGTACTTAGATATTTACAGCATGTACGCAGTGTTTGGTTGTTGCCAGATTATTGTTTGTTTGCTTTAAGATTGGGATCATCCTTTATTGGGGAACAAACTGTATGATATGATACTTGGTGGCAAAACTATATGTTTTCAATACTCTGCAATCCAGAAAAGAAATGATGGAAATTTTAGTACTTGTATTAGAGAACTAACCTAGTGTTGTTGGCATCCATTTGAAGTATTTGATTACAGTACCTACAGTACATATCTACGAGTTTTATGGTATAGCAAACTAGTATGTGTACAGTGTGGATGGAATGATCTCCAGATCAACATGTATCCTGTTCATATGTTCTTTTGCTTCCTTTGGACTCCTTTGATCACCCCTATCAGGGTGACTATGGCCATATTGATACAAAGAAAACAAATAGAACCACACGCACCCCATAGGGTGAGTTTAATAACATATACAATCAAATTTTTAAGAGTATGAATTAACACTGCAGGATCACGATCCCTGATCATACGTATTACCACTGGTGAACCACTTCCATAACTTACAGATCTTTCTAGTAGGTTATCAGTTTAATCCTATTGCTTTTTTCTGCTAATTGAATAGCCTCGGTCTGACAAAAGAGGTGCCACACTTAGCAGAAAGGAATCATAGGAACAATACGCAATGGTTTGCAACAGTCTGTTGGCATAGAAGGAGCTGTCTACCATTTTAAGCCCACTTTCAAGTTCTGTGAGGATGAAGATCAGACTTCTCTATCCATTATTTGCTAAAAATAATCCCCCCAGTTAATTTCAATGATATGGTAGTACAATTCAGAACTCAATTTGCAGTACAAAAACTTAAATACCTATAAAGGAAAGAAAATGATTCATGTCATTGATTTTTCAGGATAAATTGTAAAGTCTTACCTATCTTTAGTTGCATCTCAATATCAAGTCATACCATCAGACATAATTTTAAATATGTTCAGTATTTGGGGCTAATTTTATTGTTTGTTCAAAAGAAAATTTGTTTTGCAGATGGTTTTAAAAGAGCTTTTAGTCTTCTGTTTCTTACAAAGAAAACTTTGGTACTATTCAATGGCCTCCTATAGCCCACTTTCCCCTTCTCCCCCTGTACATATGTAAACATAGCAGTGTACAATTCTTAACTGTGGAGTAGAGGAAATAGAAATTTTGTGGCCATCCTCCTGTACAGGACCTGCCTTTGATTATTATTTACATCAAACAGACAACACAAAGTATTCACAAAGAATATGTACCATATTATTGATTTTTGTATCTTAAAATTATTGTTTTTGCATATATTATTTATTTCTGTTAACATATAACATAGGGGATTTTTTTGCTGTACTTTAGAATCCAATAAGCAATGTATAGTGATTTGAACTGCCAAATCTGCATTTACTTTTAACTTTTATTTCAACACATTACTTAATCATTTAGTTTATTATGTTGTGCAATTGTAGATGGCCTAATACTAATGTAAAATGATTTGTAGTGGAAACATTTATATTTTTATAATAAACATAATGAAAGTATTTTTACATATTCGAATGCAGAGGTGGATTGCTTTGAAACCATGGAGAGCAATCGTGAGACGAGTTTAACAGACGTTTACAGTTCATCTGCATGACATCGGTAACAAGCCTTAGTTTTCAGTGGAATTTGGAGGCAAACAGCACACAAGGCACAGGGGAAGGGATGAAAAATGCACAATCACAGTGCTTGTAAAATAAATAAATATTCTGTTTTTAGTGTCATCTCCTGCTCCCTGTGAATGTTATGAAAAATGTGATCCAAGAAATAGGGAGGAGCAATTCTGTGTGTATTTGCTGTTAGCGAATTAAGAAAGACTGCTTCCATATGGGGATCATTCCCAGCACAGCAAGAAGGGAGCCCTTGTATTAATGTGGAACACCCATCTTCTTTCATGTCCATCCTGAGTATGGCTTGGGGCTTTAAACCAGGTTCAAAAGAAACCTGTTCCAATCTGATTCAAAAGCCAATCCGCAGAGTCACTGTGAGGGAGTGTCTGTGTGGGCACTGCCTCCATCACCAGTAGGGATAGAACATGGCTCAGTAGGTTAAAGGCATTTCAGGGCTGTGGGCAGAATCACTATGGCATCTGGGCTTCAGTTTGCACAGGCATGATGGGGGAGAGGAGAAGGCCTCAGGGAGGGGCAACAGCAGCAAGAGGCACAGAGACAGGAGAGTGTGGATGCCATTCCCACCCATTCCTGATCCTCTTACTGCTGATGTGGCACATTTTCATGCCCACTTGTGCATACAGTCCTCAAGGACAAATGTCCTCAAGGACATTTTCATGCATACAGTCCTCAAGGACATACAGTCAAACAAAGATGTCAGACATCTGTACACAGGACAGTTTATAGTAAAACACACACAAAAACATGCAATCAACAATAAAAGACTTCTACTGCAATCGTGTGCAGAGTTTCTGCAGCCTCAGCCAACTGTTTAAGACTAAAATTGCTAGGAAAAGTTAAAGGCAACAGGAAAAGAGGAAGACCCAACATGAGATGGATTGACTCGATCAAAGAAGTCACAGGTCTCAATCAATGCTCCCTCTAAGCTGTGGAGTCCTGTGAGCAAATATTCTACTTTCTGAGCTACTGGCATTAAAGTTGTGAGCAGGTGATTTGGCTACTGCATAAATTAGTTTGCTCTGGTGCCATCCTTCCTAAGCTAAGACAAAAATGTATGAGTCAGAGGTTAAAAAACTGTGAGATAGCTCACACTAACTCAGCTTAGAGGGAACACTGGTCTCAATTTGCAAGACCTGAGCAAGGCTGTTAATGATAGAATGTTTTGGAGGACATTAATTTGTAGGGTCACCATAATGCAGAAGCTGCTTGATGGTAGGGTTGCCAGACCCTTGGTTCAGATCTTCGGAGCTTGAATCTGCCACCACCCACCAGGCTGGAGGGGGAAGCCCTACCCCAAAGAGGCCTGTCACACATTGATGTACTCAGTGTGATGACGTCACATTAAAGTGATGTCATCGCACCGGGCATGTCATGTGTCAATGCTTTAGCATTTTGGCCAAAACCTCTATGGTAAACATAGAGTTTCAGCCAAAATGCTAGAGCATTGATGCGCAACATCCCCAGCCTGATAACGTCACTTCAGTGTGATGTCATCACATTGACAATGTCACACACAGCAATGTCGCCCCACTCCTGGACTGCTTGGACCTGCCAACCCTACTGTCAGAACCCACAGCCAACAATGTAGTACACGCATTCAAAAAAGGTAATACTTTTATTGCAGAACTATAGATGCAGTAACATAAGCACTGTTAAGAATGGCGGCGGTCCCTTGTGCATAATAGAATATAGGGTATTCATATGCACACACCCCCCATAGCACTGGCCAATTAGGCACCCTCCCGCGTGCGGGATAAAGCTTGGAGACCATTAGGTAGCTGAAGCTGAGAACCAACACTCTCCCACGGCACCTAGGAAAAACCCAGACAATACAACTCCCTCCTGCACATCTGTATAGATAAGCATTTCGGCGCAAAGCAGAGAAAGCACAGAAAGGAATGCAGTAGCAATTAACCAGGCACAGACTGAGCTCCTGGCAGCGTAACTGACACCAACTTGATGGCATTTAACACAAACACACAAAAGATTAAAATATTAAAAGGTATAATGCACACCCAAAGGAAACTGAGCATTTACTGGACTGGTACAATTTTGTCTCTAACCACAACAAAGTTACAAATACAATACAGAAAAGAATTGTTTTGCAAGTTTTTAAAAATGCTGTCAGTGAAGGGGTTCTCTATACCGTTCAGGCAATCTGTCCCATAATATTGATGAAACTGTCAAGAAGGCCTAAGATTGCATTGAGGTTGTACAAACTCTTTGGATGAAGGGTGCCCACTTTAGAGGATTTCCTCAAGGACCTAAGTTGGTTTAGAGGTTCAAACAAACCACCATATCTTAATTCAATGAGACGATATATGCAGAGATTAACAGTCTGATCCAAGACCTCAAAGCCAGTGCATCACTAATCCCGACATGGCACTTGCACACCTATTTGGCATCCTCTGATTGCTTCTCAGAAGCAAACAAACGACCTAATCCCAAGGCACAAAGACCATAGCAACTGCACTGCTGACCATAGCAACCCACCAATGATGATGCAGCATGTCAACCCACCCAACCCAACTGCTGACCAGAGCAACCCACCAATGATGATGCAGCACGTCAAAGAAAGCCAGAGATAGAAGCAGCCAATCAGTATATTCTGATACACAGTATATTCTGATACACAGCCGATCTCAACACACATACAGAACACTACAAAAGGAAGGAACATAGCACCACTATGCTGGAACACCTACATATACACCATAGAGCTCCACAGATGCACATTCAAGTGCCATTCTGCAACCAAGTTCCTTTTTTTGGCAGGTACAAATGTAAAGAAGGAAACCTGGTCACTCTAGTCACATTGGCCACATGCAG